ACGGGACGACTGTAGAGCCTTTGCTGACCGGTGGGTCTCAAGATGATTAGTGTAGAAATGCTTGCACAGCATAGGGGGTCTTTATCTACCCCTTGATTTACGATACCTATTAGAAGCAAGTTCAATTGCACCGCAGGATTCAACTTCTGTAGTAAATAAAAGAAAAGTCGTCTCCCAGGCTACATTTGTCGTACAGGTGTCTTCTGACGTGCCTCGTTATGAAAGTATGATGCTGGGCGACATTTGCGTCGTACTTGGCTGGGCTCTGTGCTGTCTTTCTTGGAAACGTATGTGTGGTTACTTACCAAGGTGAGTTGGATGTGTTTGGTCTCCCATAACCATCCTGTAGATGATTGACCGAGACTGGTTGATTATCACTACTTACGCTGGTATGTTTATCCTCCAGGCGAATAGGGTCATAGATGGGCGATGCTGCCGTGGATTACGACCACTCAAGGTTGATTACAGCCAGCAGGGCTACAAAGGAGGGAACACTTTAGTTCTCAGGCAAGGAGGATCGATTTGTCTAAGAGCTTACGATGATCTAGTATCGTTGTCAATGAAGAAATGGAGTCACAGACTGGGTTCTTCTTCCAGAGGAGCATATGTCGGTACTAATCGGTCAGGACATACTGCCATACTTTCAAGTTTCCGTTACCCCGACACTTGTCCAAACATCGACAAACACCACTCTAGAACAACACCATCATCATGGTGTCCCTCGCTCGGTACATCCGAAACATCCGCAGAACGGGCATAAAGCAGTGGTGGCATCAGATGCAGTACATCGGTGATGCCAAAGCTGGCACCCTCGTCGGAGCCGACCAGTACGTTGCCCTTAGTGGTGACGGCCCCACGCAAACTTACCACTTCGGCCAGGTTCGGCAACAGGTACTTCGAGAACCTGAGCCCCGAGGATGAGGTTCCAGGTATGTTTCACTATACTCGTACGACTCCTGTTGACTGCTCTTCAACAGGTCGTCACAGATGGGTCGATTTTGCCCAGCACTACAACAATGCGACGCAAGTCCCACCCGAATGGCATTCATGGCTCCAGCACATTAGACATCTCCCGCCGACAGAGGACGCGGTTATGAAGGAATCTTCTCCCCCATGGAAGGCAGTGAGTCCTTGTTCATTCTCGGTCCCACTCGTTTACAAAACCTCGACGGATAGCCGTGGGTAGAAAACTTGACTGGGACGCGGGGCGCATACCGGCCATATAACACGGTTGTGCCCAAAATCATCGCCTGGCAACCAAAGGTCATGGTTCGGGGATAAGCACGGGAGGGCATAGTATAGTATAGTCATTTTCTAGATTATAAAGTGCCACTCACCTCAGTCGCCTTTCGATTAGCCTCAATTGTGCTCTGGTGGACGACCGCACTCAGCGGTCCTGTAGTGTAGTGGTTTATCACTTGGGATTTTGACCTCCTGTCCGACGAAGAATGTTCCCAGAACCCAGGTTCGAACCCTGGCAGGACCTGGACCTTTTCCAGTCTTTTTCGACGATGGCGCATGGCACATTGTCGTCGGTTCACTTCCGTCATGGTTGGAAACACATGTTGACATTGGGTAGATGTCACACCTTCCAGCTCGTCCGAGTTCGCGTCGGCCACGACGCTTTACAAAAGCCTCCCATTGTTTAAACAGTTGAAGTGCCGACGCGGATATACTATAGGACCGAATCATTATTGAACGTGCCTAGTGATTAGCATGCTGAGTCCCAAATGATTCAGGGTTGGGACCTGCGTGCTTGAGACTGGTCGTCGGATTGCCCCTGAGGTCACCGAGTCGCTTACCCATTGTCCTATGCTTTGGCAGATGCTTTGAACCGCCCTGACACAATTCGCGGGTAGAAGTCAGTGCACTTCTTTTTGGCATGTCGTCTCGTCTTACTAACAAAACGACTCCATTTTCATGTTCACCATTTTTCATAGTAGCAACCCCATTCCCGTCTCGCTTATCTCACCTTGGAGTTGCCAAATTCCGCCTTGACGCCTAAGCTATAAGCTTTGCTTGCTTCACGTCTGACCCAAGATAAACCAGGAATCCATTCAGGTACACTCAACACTGTTCGTCAGTGCAGTTACATAAGTATAGCCAACGATGGTCGAGGTGTAACCTGAGAAGCTCACAGAACGGGAAAGCTTTGAGGAGCACTACCATCTCAGGTGTCAGTGCCCACATGGAAGCCCTAGAGAAGTCATCGATCATTTCCACCATAGGGTCCTCTCGCGTTTTTGGCTCATAGTCGTAGATAGCAGACATGGCCACCGCAGTAGCATACCTAGAGGAGTCCAAGCATCATGCATGCATGAGCGCGTAGAAGTAATGAGCTTACGTGACATAGTAAGATGGAAATTCTTTTGGATCATCCATGATGTTGACGACTATCTGGCGTGCTCTACGGAGTATCATTGGTCGAAAGGCGACTCGAGCGGCCTCAGCGCGGAACGTCTGATGGATTATGCGTCGGCACAGTCTCCAATGTGGACCATACCGAGTAAAAGCGACATGGTAACTGTGGCCGAACCTGACAGACAGACAATTCAGAATCATCGCCCAACATCAGTACATGGGACGACAATTGAAATATTTGCACTTACGGCTCGAGAATTGCAAGGAACTGGCGGTCAGAGTATATCTGGGATCGCTTGTCGAGCAGCTCGATCGCATCCGAGCGCGAGTTTAACACGATCACGTCAGAGTCGAGCAGTCGGACATACATCACATCCCCTGAATATCCGAGTCGTCAGAGACAACTTGTGTCGTAGCTCTGCACCAGACTCACCATACTTTGCCTGCCATGCTGTGTATGTCAACCAGGGTTCTTGCGCGTTTACAGAGAGGGCGCTGCCCAGTATCGGGAGTGGGGTAGTAGGACCAGGTGGCAGGCAGCGGGCCTTCCTCTCGACGCGATTGCGAATGAACCATCGAATGGCATCCACAATCACAATCGCGGGCAGGACGAGTGTTGTGAGCTGGACAGCTGAGGGTCGTGGAGCAAGAGTGAGCCAGTCCATGGGGGAACTAATGATTATCGTATGGGAACCTACTATCTTATACCCGTTCCTGTAACTTCAGGCCTCCGAAGTCCTGATTGGCATTGGCAGCAAACCGACCTGTTCAATTAGCCGACGACCACAGAATATTAGCGCCACCTAGCTGAGACAGTCCTACTTATCTTATCTCCATCTCCATCTCCCGCGCATGCTCCATCCAGACAAGGAGGGGTTATCGAATCAATTCTAATGTAGATAACATAAAGCAATACATCCGAAAGAGTCCGAGTCCATCCAATAAACCATCGATGCATCCCTCAATACCCCGACGGCTTCACTCCATCCGTATCATACGCCCTGATCACTCTCGTCTGATCCAACCTCGTCCCTCCCCCACTTCCACCACGCCTCGCCTCGGCATCCGCACCTGCCCCACCCTCCGTCTGACTAAACGCAAACCCACGATTCCGTCTCATCCTCTGCACCGCCCTCACTTTTTTGATCGCTTTCTGGAATTGTGCCTGTCTCGGTCGATAATCTGGCACGTTGTACTTTTGCACCTCTTGCGCGACGTGGTATGGTTGGGGCCAGTGCGTACGCTTGTAGTATTTCCATGCCAGATCGCGCGCGAGGCACAGGGCTGGTACCAACACGAGCATGAAATAGAAGACGGCGTCGGTCCAAAGGCGTGGGACGAGTCCGGCGTATTCGGTAGAGAAACCGAGGGCGGGGGCGATCAGGGCGTACAGGGGGAGAAAGAGCATTGTAAAGACAAACGAGCCGGGGATCGCGGCAACGGTGTACTTGGTCCATAGACTGCGAGCACGTCAGTCAGCGATGACAAACAAAGAGAGACAGAGGACGAACTCGGATATCAATGCAGCCTTGCCAAGCACGGTCAACAGCACCGAGAGGTACAACGCCGTACCCCAGAACCAATGCCCCGAATCTAACCCCGTCGCTTGTTTCAAGTCACCCCAGAACAAAATGACCGAAAAACCAAACAGAATCAGAGAGTGATACAACGCATTCCCGACCCACGACCAAAATGCTGTCTTGGTGAAAAACACATTCTTTTGGCCGAGGGAATACAGTTGCGGGTACCGATCTAGCACACGCGCTGACACGAACTGGTCAAAGATCCCGATTACGAGAGGCGGGAGGACGGTGAAGATGACGTTGTAAAACGAGATGGTCCATGATTCGTAGGCGATTTGTCCCGAAAAGTTGTTGAAAAAGGAGTACTGTCACGTGTATTAGCACATTCACCCCTCGCATCACCAGTGGTGGAGGAACGTACCCAAAACTGCGTCATGTAGAGCGTAATATTTTTGTAAAACGAATCTAGAACTCGACGTTAGCCCCCCGACTCGCGAGCAAATGTGAGCGGTCACAACATACAGAGAATGAGTTTGGACAATCGTTGGTAACTCCACGCGCCATGCACAAGCAACAACTTTTTCAGATGGCGGAATTGCGAAATCGCAATGTCGGCCGAACGTGCCGCTTGGAGACCCTAGTGCGACACGTCAACGTTGGTTACACCATCCAAACGCGGATACCTACCTCGACGCCCGAAATCCCCACACCTACGTGCGCTGCCTGGATCATGCTGACGTCATTCGCACCATCCCCGATCGCGAGCAAGATCGAGTTCTGGTTCTTTTTGACGAGCTTGACCACAAGCGCCTTTTGCAACGGTGACACTCGGCCTGGCACGCGTCGTGAGGAACCCGTCACAACAAAGAAAGACAAAAAAGACACACAGCAAATGACCGCTTTACACAACAACGCCAACTCCAAAAACGACTTGGACACCTCCTTTTCGAGTGCAAACGTCAAACTCTTGCCATCTACAACGTCGCACGACGGTGAGACCTGCCGCCTAAAAAAAGCGCTAGCACAACCACGCACCAATGATCAACGCCAAATCTTCCACTTCCCCACTACTTCTCTGATTCCGAATCGCCCCCAACCGCTTCTCGATAAAGTCGGCCGTCTCATGCGCCGTCTCCTCGTTGACGATCACCAAATTCATACTTTCCCCGATCAACCGACAGCTCATCCCAATGTTGATCGCAGTCTCCTGTCGGTCACCTGTCAGGACCCATATTTTGATCCCGGCCTCCTGCAGGGTGTGGATTGTGTCCGGGACGCCTTCTTGGAGCTTGTCTTCAATCGCGGTCGCACCAAGTAGAAACATGTCGCGTTCGATCAGTTCAGCGGCTCGGTCGAGTGCTTCGCCGCGTCCGTTGATCGTCGCGGCTGCTTGGGAGTAGATGGTCGCCCACTGTGCGTATTCGGCCGGGGGGATGTCGCGGTAGGCTATGCAGAGCGTACGGAGGCCTTCCGTAGCATAGTCCTGTCCACCGTCAACATCATCATGAGTAGAGAGAGAGAAATCAAGACGTGACGCACTTCGAGATGAGAAAGAGTCTTTTCGGTAAACAGCTGATGCTTGCCCAACCGCTCGAGAATGACCGTGTCCGCGCCTTTGCAGTACAACTTGATTTGGCCGTCCGGCGCACGCACGATCGTCGACATGCGCTTTCGCGTCGAGTTGAACTCGCACACGTTCAAGATCTCGTATTCGACCGTCTGTCCTTGGATGTTGACAAACGCCGACTTGGGTTTTCGAGTCTACGGCCCCGCTTCGATCAGGAGACGAGAAACGAAACAGACACACACGACGCACGTGGAATTGGTACCCCAACAGCTCGGCGCCCTCGACGAGCGCCGCCTCGTCCGGACTGCTCGCTTGATAATGCGTCTTTCCGTCTTTCACTTCCGGAATGACGGTATGGCACACCGCCAAGAGCGTCATAAACTCGTGTGCAACCCCTCTCTCCCTCAGCACCTCGCCGTTCGACATGGCCGTCGCCTCGGTCTCGAACGGGTTCTTGGACATGAACGTCTCCGTCCCCTCGAGCACCCGCTTCAAATCATCAAACGTGTGCCAACTCTCCTTGGCACCTTCTTCATCCGGCTCCGCGTTTGCTTTCCGACTCTCGTCTACTTCCTCGGCATAAACCACCCCGCCAATGCTCGCACGCTTAAACTCCATCTCGTTGCGCGTCAGTGTGCCAGTCTTGTCCGAAAATATAAACTCGATCTGCCCGAGCTCTTCAACGAGGGATGAAGTGCGGCAGAGTGCGGGTGTGTCAGTGCGGGCATAATACATATCGAGATCCGAATTGATGAGTGCTACTTGTTGAAACTTGACGACTTCCATGGTGACGATAAGCGAGATGGGGATGAGGTTGTTATAGAGGATGATGAACGTGAGAATGTCTGTTCGAATCATGTGAGTGGGGGTCGATCAGAAGGAAGAACATACGAAACCTTCTGCAAATGTCTTGGCTGGTATTCTTGTCAGGACGAGATGACCTGCGTAAGAAAAGAAGGGTACTAACCTCTACCCGCAAGTGTACTGGATTCAAAGAGGTACCACTGTGAGCTGGAGAGAAACCACTGATTCAAG